GAAAAAAAAAAAAAAAAAAAAATCAATGACCTGGGAAAAGTTTCACAGCAGCAAACATCCAAAAGCCACGAACACGCCTGGGATCGATCAGGTTTTGCTTTTTTTTGCTTTTTTTCGGGTTGGTTGCTCAAGGATTTGGCTTTTTTTGGGAATCCACGATTCCTGGCGGGCGCTGTCCTTCAAATCCCCCGAATTTTCAGCCCAAGGGACATTGAGGCACCGCTGAGGCCGAGGGCAGCTCTTTTTTTTTTTTGTCTTCTCCGCTGGTTTCTTTATGATTTTAATTTTAATTTGAATTTTAATATTTTTATTTTTGCTTTCCTGGAGTCACTGATGGGGATTTGCTCGCAGAAGGGCAGGAGAAATCCCATAAAGGTGAAATCCCGTCGAGGAGAATTCCCATCAATCGCAGCGGCGCCTTCCCGGAGGGGCGAAAGGCAACAACAAAAAAAATAAAAAATAAAAAATAAAAAAAAATTTGGGATTTTTTTTTTTTTTTCGTGGGTGCAGCTCGGAGCTCACTTGGCGGCCACGGGGCTGTGCTGGGCCTGGCAGAATTCTGCCCTGACGCTCAGAATCGCCATAAATGTGCCAAGGATCCTCCAACAGAACACCTGGAATGGGGGAAAAAAATGGGAAAATTGGTTAAAGGAGTCTTGTTCCATCACTGACCCACAAAGAGAAACTCAAATTAAGAAAAAATGCTGAAAAAAAACCCCATAAATTCAAGTTCTGATCCTAAATATCTGGGGTTTTTTTGGTGTCATTCCTGCTCCTGAAATATCAAAAATGGGAAAAGAGTTGGAGGGGTCTGGTTCCATCACTGACCTAAAAAGAGAAACTCAAATTAAAGAAAATGTTGCAAAACCCCCAGTAAATTAAAGTTCTGATCCTAAATATTGGGAATATTTGGTGTAATTCCTGCTCCTGAAATATCAAAAATGAGAAAAGAGTTGGACGGGTCTGGTTAAATCATTGACCTGTACAGAGAAATAAATTAGGTCCAAAAACCCAATAAATTCAAGTTCTGATCCTAAATATTTGGATATTCTTGGAGTAATTGCTGCTCCTGAAACATCAGAAATGGGAAAAGAGTTGGAGGGTTTGGGTTCCATCACTGACCCACACAGAGAGACTGAAATAAGGAAAAATGCCACAAAAAAACCAATAAATTCAAGTTCTGACCCTAAATATTGGGAATATTTGGTGTAATTGCTGCTCCTGAAACACCAGAAAATAACAAATCTGCCCTGACGCTCAGAATCGCCATAAATGTGCCAAGGATCCTCCAACAGAACACCTGGAATGGGGGAAAAAATGGGAAAATTGGTTAAAAGGGGTCTGAATCCATCACTGACCTCTACAGAGAAACTCAAATTAAAGAAAATGTCACAAAAAAACCCAATAAATTCAAGTTCTGACCCTAAATATTGGGAATATTTTTGGTGTAATTCCTGCTCCTGAAATATCAAAAAAGGGGAAATTGGTTAGAGGGGTCTGGTTCCATCATTGACCCATCCAGAGAATTAAATTAAGTAAAAAAAAAAGCAATAAATTCAAGTTATGATAGCCCAGATCTTAAAAATTGGGAATATTTGTTGTAATTGGAATTTTTGTTGTAATTCCTACTCCTGGAGGTACCAAAAATTGGGATTTTTCTGTGTTTCACAAAAAAAAAATTTCCAAAAATTTCACTGTTCCAGCCCCAGTTCCCTCCCAGTTCCCTCCCAGTTC